CAAATATGCAGACGGGAGAAACTTACAGAAGGATAAGCAACACTCCACCAATCCGGTCTTTATGGCGGTGTGGCCAAACTCAATCCTCTCCTCAGTGAAGACGCATGAAAACCCATGCTTGGAATTAGCAACAAAGCACCTAATAATCATCAGACTGTGAGAAACAAGATTCTCTGGTCTGATGAACCTCAATTCCAAACAGGGCCGGATTTCCGCATATAGGCATTCTAGGCACGTGCCTATGCTCGCTCGTCCAGGGGGGCCCAAACACAATGAAGAGATATATAATAGTTTTGTTATACTATGGGCTATCTACAACAGTAAAAGAACCAAAAACCCCAGAAGACATTGAGCAAATAAATATAACAAACAATAGGGTAAAAAATGGCAAAGTATTTCCATGTCTTCCACCTTTTTTTATGTAGGCTACGGAAGTAACGCTTTCTTTCTCTCGTTCTCGCGACCAAAAACTTGTCATCAGCTCTACCCCGTGAATTTATCAATAAAATAGTTTACATGACTTTTCTCCATAGCGAGGTTCTTGAAGCAGTTTAACTTAAAGATTCGTTATTAGTAGACGCTGCTGAGAGACGCACAGATGCAGGTATTCACACGCGCTTAATCTCTCTCTCTCTCGCTTTCTCTCTAAGTGCGTTAGCCTGCATATCAATGGCCCAAGCATTTATTATTAGCTCTAAAATTACGTTTTGGAAATTTCCAATGGAAGGTTTTTGTAAAATTGTTCAACACACACACGAGATTTCAGGACGGAAACATGACAAATGTCTTGAAATAAATCATCTTAACAATGTCTTGATGTGTGGTTGTGACTCCAGGCCGTTAAAATTATTAGAGAAATAATGCACTCCTGAAGTTATGTGGCCACGACACTGCATTAATGGTCTTTCTCAGTTCTCAAACTACATTCGGTTTTTATTGATTGAATGATAATAATAAGATATAATAAGCAAATCTATATACAGTAAGCGGCTTGACCTCCTGTATAGGTACACAATAATGAAAATGTGCTGGAGCCTGGAACCAACTCTGCGTCCGACTTTTGCCAACATCAGTGAAATTATTGCAAAGTTACTGCCAAAGCAATCCAGCCAGGTCAGGCACACTGTTGATCATTTACGCTGTTGTAACAGCAAGCAAAATATAATCAGTTTTCTTGTATTTATCATTTGATTTTTTGATTTTTACCTTATGCCTTTAACACATTTATGCAATTTGACATTATGATTGTGTTACTGATTATAGATTACATAATGAAACTTGGCTTACACTTTATTTCGATAGTCCACTTTAGACATTCTACTAACTGTAAGTAACTTTGCAACTACATGTCAACTAACTCTCATTAGAGTATTTGTAGACTGTTAAGGTTAGTAGAATAAGTTGCCGTACTCGCAAAGTTACTCATAGTCAGTAGAACGTCTGTTGATCGACCATCAAAATAAAGAGTTAGTAGATAGTTGACATGTAGTTGCAAATGTGTTTATGGGTAGTAGAATGTCTAAAGTGGACTATCAAAATTAAGTGTTTCTGAAACTTGTAGTTAGTAATGTAATCTAGGTTACTCATTTAGGTCATGTATTCTGACTGCTTTTTAGATTACTTTTGGATTACTTTTTTATCAAACTTGTTTTAAACTTACCGTATTGATATAAAAAAGAAAAAGCATACATTTTTTTTATATTAACATCATAAAATGCATTTAACATTACATTAGCAAGGTGATAGTAAGTGAATAGTGAGTTGACAAAAGCTAACAATTAATTAAATCATAAAAATGTCAAATAAAATAATTTGAACTCTTGAACAATAACAATATAAAAACATGGTCTAATTGCTTGAGAGGTGCTGTTTTACATCAAAATTCAGAAGCATGGTTTGCGAATGTATTTACACAAAAAGGAACATTTTAAAAAGAAAAAAGAAGAATTAGGGAGAATCAATAAATTATGAACAATTTACTTCCATTGTGTGAATAATACGTAATCATGTAATCAATAAAAAAGTAATTGTAATCTGATTATGAAAATTTTTAAATGTAACATACTCTAATTACAGGTATTTAATTTTGGAATCTCATTACGTAATCTAGATTACATGTAATCTGTTACTACCCAGTGCACAAAGGCAACCTACACACAATTTTACTGGAAGACGACTCAAAATTGGTTACGCTGCGCTTCCCACAGCGCCGTATGCAACCATAGCAATGCCTTGTCGATACACAGTGTCGGGGGTAACTCATTACAAGTAATGCGAGTTACGTAATCAGATTACTTTTTTCAAGTAACTAGTAAAGTAACGCATTACTTTTTTAATTTACCAGAAAATATCTGAGTTACTTTTTCCCATTAATTGACTGACAGCTCTCCTGTCCCCATATTGGGAGAAATCGGGAGCACAGAGGCTTTGTGTGCGCTGTGTGAACATGATGTTACTGTAGTTCCAGACTAAATGCGAATGTGCATTAATTCATCCCACTCACAAAAAACAGATTTAGTATTCATCAAAATGAATTAAAACAGTGAAATGCAAACTCTGAATATGACGCAAACCTGCAATAATTCAATGTTAAATAACACAAATGTATCTAATCCCATTTTATTAACCAATATATTTGCTGCTGACCTTTGATGATCCAGTTCAACCATACTAATAGGCAAAAGTGACTTTAGAGAAACTAACAATTGTGCTTTGTTTTTGTATTGCTGAAGAGTGTTTCTTCTCCTGCGTTCTACTGTACAGACGTGAATTTACTTTTCCTTCAGCCTGAGGTTTATTCATTAGACTTTTTGGTGTGAAAGGGCTTTTACATTTGCTATAAATAGAACTTCTTATATTAAAAACAAACAAGCCCTGCTTATATTTAAAAAGTAACGCGAAAGTAACGCTAATGTAATATAACGCATTACTTTCCATAAAAAGTAACTAAGTAACGTAATTAGTTACTTTTTTTAGGGAGTAACACAATATTGCAATGCATTACTTTTAAAAGTAACTTTCCCCAACACTGTCAATACATATGAACAACTAGAACACATAATTGTTGTATTTAAAAGCTTCTTCTTTTCAGCAGAACAATGAAGACATGTATCCAGAGTTTCAGAGGCACCTGATGGAAAAACTGTGTGACTCCCGAGTCACAGCCTTTAATGAGGAGCAGTTTGACCTAAAATATGAACCTGAAACAAACTCTGACAGAAAAGCTGTTTCAATTTTTCATGTCTGGATTTAGACGTGGAGCTAACAAGATGAGCAGAATTTCTATATACTGCATGCATTTTGTCTTTACAATGATGACTTTGTAAAATCATGCTATATCATTTTGTGATTCTTTTGTAGCAGATCATTTAGTATTTTACTCTACCAACTTATAAAACTATGGCAGCTAACACTTTATCACGTATCTGTTTGCAAATATGTGAATTCCTTCTTTGTGACGTTTATTTTTTGTTGGCTTTGTAGATGCAGCAGCTGTTTTATTTTGATTTTGTATGCATGTTACTGATTGTAATTTATATCCGGAACCAGTAAAACATAAGTAAACCACAGTAACATTTCATTTGTCTTTCAAACTGCAAATACATAGCATATACTTTGAATGCATTTTGAAATCCATCCGAGAAATTCAATAAATAAATAAATGCACACCACAATTTTGGTAGCCCCATGAGAGTAAAAAAAACGGAAGTACCCTATATTTCTTTTCATATTGTGAAAAGAAAACAAGTGGAAAAATATGATTTTCTGTTTCACTTGGATATAAATGCAAGGTGACAAACAGGCTAATCATTATGGTCCTATATTCATCTTATAGAAAGACCCGAGTATAGAGTAGCAAATGCAAGGCTGTTGAGCTGCACAAATCAGGAAAATGGCTTAAACTTGGCTGATGTTGAAACCCTTCATTTCCACTATTAGGTCAATACTAAGTTTAAATCACCTGGAGACTTTACTTATAATATTCTTACTTACCAGTGGTCTGATTTTTTCAGTGCAAAAGCACCTAATCAACTTGCATAAACAAAAAATGTGTTAATGCTAAAAGTGTCACAGTATTACTATATTTTTAATAAATTGATCCTCTGACTATCACTGGCCAATAAGTATATTATATATATATATACTTATATAAAAAAAATATCTTGATGTCACTTTTGTGGCATTGTACTAATTTGACACAGAAAAAACCAAGCGAATTTGCATTTAAACCGAATCTGCATCAGTCACTGTAAATATTTGATAAGATTTCAGATATGTTACCTAAATGTTCCAGCTTCGCAAGCTTCGGGTTCATCACAAGAGAAGCGTCTGTGCGTGGTGGGCGGGGCTTGCCACAGGAACGTCACACGTAGTACAGTCTGCCGTCAGTCACCGGCTGTCGCTAGGATACCGTGGATGCCTCCAGTTCCGGAGTTTACGGTACAAGTTTACGGTGTCTATTTTGAGTGAGTTATGGCAAAATCGCCGGCTGAACCGGTAGGAATTCATGCTTATGTGTTCAAGACTGTTCTAGTAAACCGTTTCAGCGATATGAATATGAACAGACCGAGAGTGTTTTAGAATAAGCAGCCATTTGCACGCTACTGTTTGATTTGTGGTTTGTTTTGAACTTGATTGTTGAGGAAGGATCAGATGTGCGCTTATGGATCATTTGTAACATTTAGTTATGAGTTTAGCATGTGCATGACGATGGTAACGTTACATCATTTAATATATTATTAGGGCAAATGTAATTAATTGCTAATTTAGATTTAGCAAGATATGTAAAGTATGTATGTACGTTATAGATGTATTTATTTATTACCTTTATTTGACCCTCTAACTCTAGCACTTTCTATTCTATTTGAATTCTACTTTATCTATATTTATCTTCTTTTTTTAATTTTGTACCGAGATTATTAAAGGAACAGTGCTTAATTACTGAAACCTATTCAGCAACCTATCACAGCTCTTTTTAATCTCATTCATCTGTGACGTTTGCTTTACCAGCGGGCCGTCATTACTCAGTGACTCTGAGACGCAGATGACTGCTAAGCTGGAGCTGGCACAAAGGCAGCTCGCCATCTGTTACTTCAGGCTGCAGCTGAAGCTGCTGCCTCATCAGCACCAAATTTCTGACAGGTCTGAACAGTGTCTGATAGCATATCTGCCATATAAAGTATGTGTATTTTTGCTGTCTTAAAATAAATATTTCACCCCAAAATTTGCTGTTTTTTATTTACCCTCAGGCCATCCAAGATGTAGGTGACTTCTATCTTCAGTAGAACAGAAGATTTTGAGCTGAAACTGTGGTTCTTGGTGATTCATAAAATGCAAGCTATTGGTTGCACAGTTTTTTAATAAAAAAAAGCACATCAAGGAACACAAAATGAATACCCGTGGCTCCTGATGATATATTGAGGTCTTATGAAGTGAAACAATCGGTCTGTGCAAGAAGCTGAAGATTATTTACAACATTATTACCTGTAATCCAGAGCCTCGGGGAACAGGGAAATTCCATTATTTTCCGCAAACTGGTTCTTTCGGAAAGGCTTGTTTCAATGAACTGGTTCAATTAAAGCACCCAAAAATGATGTGAAATCATGGATGTGAAACATGGATGTTTTACATGTCTAAAGGTCTTTCCACACTGAGTGTAATGCGAAAAAGCGAGGTTATTCGCCGACGAACAGTGCTTTCACACCGAACGCGAAACGATTGTTCGCCTTCTGCTAATTCACACCTGCACGCTAGGTGGCGCCGACGAGCAATGCATTTTCGTAAATGGATTTAACATCGTCCGCTGCTCAATACTCTCTTCTCTTATCCGGGATACTCTTCTTCGATGTTTGTTTACACTGGTTTTCGAAACAGCACCACCACTCTCACCCTTTTGTGCAACAGCAGCTGCTCCGGACACGTGATATTCGTTTCGCTTTTTCGCGCTCAGTGTGGAAAGGCCTTAAAGCATATAAAGTGAATAAACTAGTCTTCAGCAGCTCACCTTTTTACATAAACAAAGAGAAACCATAAAAATGGTAATTTGGCCCCTTCATTCAAGTGTTCCTCAGTTCAGTAACTGTTGGAGGAACTGGAGCACTGAATGAGTTCATTCATCATAGGATCAGATACACAGGTATTTTGGCTCTTTTCAGTTTTGAGTGAGTGTGATTTGGTGAACTGGTTGAACTAGGTTCAAAAGAATGATTCGTTCGTGAACCAGACATCACTCCGGACCGTTTGCCTGAGGCTCTGGATTACAGGTAATAAAATAATGTTCAGTTTCTTGCACACAATGATCGTTTCACTTCATTAGGCCTCAATATATCGCCAAGCTTGAACTGATGGTAAAACTAACGACATTATTAACTGTCTTGATATTTACTTTGAAAGCTGACGCTCGCGATTATGGTAAGGGGTGCTACATTTCCGACGCGTGCTTGTGGTGTTCGGCCAATCACAATGCACTGGGTCAGCTGGCCAATCAGAGCAGACTGCGCTTGTCGGAAGGAGGGGCTTTGTAGAAAACGAAGCGTTTGAGAGAGGCGGGGCATAGAGGACCTACAATAATGTACAGTATTTGAAAAATAATGTGTTTTTTGAACATTAAAGCATGTCAGCATATTCTGTTACACCAAATACACAAAATAATGATCTTTAAAATAGCATCATATGACCCCTTTAATAAGACTTGCCTTGTATGAATCACCACAGTTTTAGCTAAAAATCTTCTTTAATGTTTGACTCAAGAATAAAAAAGTCACCTACGTCTTTGACCTGAGGGTGAGTAAACTAACAGCAAATTTTCTTTTTGGGTGAACTATCCCTTTAATGACCAATGTGATGGATGAGAGCATGCCTGATTTATGTCAACAGAATCAGGATGTCCTTAAATGCGTCCATTGACCGTGACATGCAACTAAATGAGGTTTGTGCACTGATACCATATGTGATTCATGAAGACGCAAAAGTTAAATAGAGATCTTTGAATACCATGTATTTCAATATTATTAAAGGGGTCCTATTATGCTTTTTCACTTTTTCAACTTTAGTTAGTCTGTAATGTTGCTGTTTGAGCATAAAAAAAGATACAAAGTTCAAAGTTCACTTCAAAAGGAGATATTTTATTTAACAGAAATCACTTTTCAAAAACTACAACGAACGACTCGTTTGGACTACAACACATATTTTCCGGGATTTGTCATTTCACAAGTATCGACGAATGGGACGAGACCTGGTTGAGCTGCACTAGAGAAGGCAACAAGTGTTATCACTATGTCTGAGACACGCTAGCTTTCCCAAGCCTGACGAACTTAGAGTGGTTACAATCATCCGGGTTTAAATCGCGCTCAAATTGATTTGATTTTGACGCAATATTTACACTGAAGCTCGCAGGCGACTATGGTGAGGGGCGTGACATTTCCCGACCAGGCCCCGAGTGCTGCCAATCACAACACTCACTGACCCAGCTAACCAATCACAGCAAACACTGGACCAGCTAACCAATCACAGCACACACTGGCCCAGCTAACCAATCACAACACACACTGGCCCAGCTAACCAATCACAGCACATTTCGTATTTCAGAAGGCGGGCCGTCATTTGATACAAGAACTATTCGAGCCGTTTATGCCAGACTGGGGAGAGAGGTGTTGTAATAATGTAAAATATGTGAAAAATAATGTGTTTTTTGAACAACCTAGTATGAGAGCAAAACAAAATAAAGACTTTGTAAAAGAGCATAATAGGACCCCTTTAACCTCAGTTCTAAGAGTTCATATATCTTTCCCATGATGGCATTAGTGTGTGTTTCCTCTGCCTCAGTGTCTCCTCAGCTTTTACAGCTATGCTGCATGGGTGACCTTTGAGAGGCGGGGCCTAAAGGGCATTCGGATGGAGACTGGACGCTTGTTTGGCTCAAACATGTTTAACCCCGCCCTGAATGAATCAAAAAAAGGATTGAAAGACCAGGAGAGTTCACAGAGGAGTCAGTCTAAGGTTCTGAACTCCCGACAAGCATCACTGAATAACTGGTGAGAAAGTGGCATAGTCCGACAAAAACACAGGACAACTGGGTGAAATTATAATGTAGTCTAATAATGTTTATCTAATTAACAGAAATTATTATGACTAATGCAAATGATTTCATATTATTTTGATTGATAAATATTTTACTATTAAATAATATTATATTTAGAATTGTGAATTTAAAATGTTAGTTTTAAAATATAATGAATATAATTTCAGTTCAGATTTTTTTTTAGCAAATATAAAAATTTTAAATGTATTGTTTTAATTATGTAAAATATTGTATTATGTGTAGAAAATATTGACTGGTTTATTTTTATTTTAGATATTGTATTATTTAATAATAAATATAATGAAATTAACACTTAATTTACTTGAAACATGCACCCTATGTTATGTATGCATAAAATAATGAAGAGATTTAAAAAAGTTCTGTCTTGCCTTTGTGAGGTGTTGTGAGTAATTTGATGTAACTTTAAGTGAAGATTTAGGCTTTTACTGTTCTGTCTTCTCTCTCATACCTCACTCTCTGTCTCCTGACCTTTAACCCAGGAAGTCAAACCGTCTTCCTCCCCTAAACAAAATCATAACCCAGCGTTCCCCGCTGATGGTCTCTCTGCTGCCTACTCCACAAGAAAAGGCCCCTCACCTGTTTGAGCGCGTCAGAGGTCTTAAAGTGCCCTCGACTGAAGACTGTGATTCAGAGGCGGTGATGGAGGAGCTCAAAGAGCAGCTTAAAGAGCAGCTGAAGTCTCTTAGGTAATACTTGATCATGCAATGGTTTAATTATTCATAAGTGCGGCATAGTATGTGACGGTTTTGTCTCTGGTGTCTGATTGTATCTACTTTGCTTTGCCTTTAGCTTTGGAATCCTCGGAAAGCCTTTGAGCCAGTTCAGCTCCGAGACACTGAAGCCTCAGGAAGGCCCGAGTGAAGAGGAGACTGAGAATGAGGAAGACGAGGGTAGTAACAGCGATGTGGTGAGCACTGACCCACCCGTACTCATCAGGAGTAACAAAACCTCTGTCACTGGCCAAATATCGCTCACCGCAGCTACAGACAAACGCATGCGCTCTAGCCGAGCGGACTTAGTCTCCAGAGCTACCACTGAAGCGGTGTCCTCAGACACAGAATAAATCTGAAAAACACTTACAATGTTGTATCATGCCATTTTCTTTTGTGTTGCCCTGGTTATTGTCCGCTGTGCTGTACATGGGGGTTGTTGGCTATAATCATATTTAATAATGAGAAATAGCAATATGGCCACTAGATGGCACTTTTCAATATTGTTATTCAGTTCAAGCCTCTTAAAGGGGTCATATGATGCGATTTAAATTTTTCCTTTCTCTTTGAAGTGTTACTAGCTCTTGTCAACTAAAGTCTCAAATCCAAAGAGATATTCTTTATAAAAGTTAAGAGTCAACCATGCCTACCTAAAACGGCTCATTCTAACACGCCTCCACATGTCTACATCACGATGTGGGAAGATTTGCATAACGCCGCCCAAATGTTCACGCAAAGAAAGAAGGCATAACTTTGATTCTCGCTGTAGTATTGTTGCTGCCGCCGCCATGTCGTTGTGAAAGTGAAACTACTTTGTTTGGTGTTCCAAAAGAGGACGATATCTGCTTCGTCATGCCTGGAGCTGATCCGTGCTGGTCACTGAGGGAATACTTCAACTTCGCGCTGTGGATTGTGGACGAAGCGGGGTCCAGCCCGGGTCCAGTCGTCACATGTGGTTGCCGCAAGCCCTCCGGACGCTCCTTCGTAAAACTGCCATAAAAATATTATAATATATATAATAATACTATATATAGATATATAAATGCATATGATGTTTCCCACTTTCACTGACATTAACCATTTAAATGCTAGTTTATTAGGAATTATTACAGTCTTGGATAAATCAGTGATTAGAAACAACATTGATTTTGATGAATTATTGTTTTAATTAATGAATGAATTATTAAATTTTTTTGATGCAGTGCCAATTTTTTTTAAAACTACCATTCACACACGCACAGATTTCTCAACAAACACATACAACCACACTCTGATATACTGTACATACCACCACACAATTATAATTACATCTTTTTAATTTACACAGAAAAAAAGCCAGTTATTTGCTCCATAGACCAAACCTGAGAATATGGTGCTATCAGCAGGTGGAAAATAGGAATGAATGAATTAATACATTACATACATACGTACACATTTTGAAGCCTTGATAACCAAATGAAAGCCATTAACAAAGAATGCATGGTTTTATGCTTAAATGGCATTGGCATTAATTATTGCAGTTTCAATGGGTGTCAGTGTGGGCATTTCTGTTTTTAAGATCCCGAGAGTAACTATTATTTATTTATTGTTTTCCTTGTGTAAAACACATTTATGAAAGGGAATAAGGGTGTATTAGACAAATGGTTTATTAATTGTATTGCTAAGGATTAGGAAACAAGAGTTCACTTATTCTCAATCTTATTCTTTATGACAGTGTCTACCACTTGGCCAAACTATCTCCGATTTGTCCATTAAGGGGAAACATTGCATTGAGAATTCATTTATATTCAGCAGGTAGCTTTATTAATTAGTGAATGAATGAATACATTATTGAATAAATCAATAAATATTAACTTTTGAAATGAAAATACTATTTAATTTATAAATATTATTTATTATTTTATTTGGAAAGTAGGGGAAGAAACAAGAAAGAGGAGACAGTCTTGACCAGATTAAGAGTAGAGATGAAATGGAGAGAAAACATGATGAAAGAAATGGGAAGCATAGGAATAACTGAGGAACATACTGAAATGCGGTGTGTAAACAAGGCAGGAGGACTGTTTCCTGATCCTGGGAGAGCAGACTACAATGCCGGCTGTTCTGACTCACAGACTGTAAGTACGTTTTTATATTTAAAGGATTTGCCACTGACGATTCAAACACGAGTTTTGGGCAGTGTAGAGTAGCGCTTGTTGTTTGTCATTTCTCTTATCACAAATGCAGACATGGTTTTATGTTTACGAGCCGCGATGCGATGCAACGCAACACGTAAAAAGACAGTATAAATCATTATAATCAGTAATTATGACCCCACTGGATGCAACAAATGCCTCGTTTATAATGGGTTTTAATGTTTTTGTCTCGTCGCTCCGGGACAGGGCATCATCACAGTATGGTGAGGGGCGTAACATTTCCGTCACACGCTTGAGGTATTCGGCCAATCACAACGCACTGGATAGCCGGCCAATCAGAGCACACCTTGCTTTTCAGACCGATGAGCTTTGTAAAAATCGACGCATTTCAGAAAGGCGGGGCATAGAGGAGAAACAATAATGTACAGTATGTGGAAAATACACATAATTCATTACACCAAATAGTGTTCTTTTTAGCAACATCATATGACCCCTTTAAGAGTTGTGCGTCAGATTAAAAAAGTGCACCAGAAGAAAAAACTGCCATAAAAATATTATAATATATATAATAATACTATATATAGATATATAAATGCATATGATGTTTCCCACTTTCACTGACATTAACCATTTAAATGCTAGTTTATTAGGAATTATTACAGTCTTGGATAAATCAGTGATTAGAAACAACATTGATTTTGATGAATTATTGTTTTAATTAATGAATGAATTATTAAATTTTTTTGATGCAGTGCCAATTTTTTTTAAAACTACCATTCACACACGCACAGATTTCTCAACAAACACATACAACCACACTCTGATATACTGTACATACCACCACACAATTATAATTACATCTTTTTAATTTACACAGAAAAAAAGCCAGTTATTTGCTCCATAGACCAAACCTGAGAATATGGTGCTATCAGCAGGTGGAAAATAGGAATGAATGAATTAATACATTACATACATACGTACACATTTTGAAGCCTTGATAACCAAATGAAAGCCATTAACAAAGAATGCATGGTTTTATGCTTAAATGGCATTGGCATTAATTATTGCAGTTTCAATGGGTGTCAGTGTGGGCATTTCTGTTTTTAAGATCCCGAGAGTAACTATTATTTATTTATTGTTTTCCTTGTGTAAAACACATTTATGAAAGGGAATAAGGGTGTATTAGACAAATGGTTTATTAATTGTATTGCTAAGGATTAGGAAACAAGAGTTCACTTATTCTCAATCTTATTCTTTATGACAGTGTCTACCACTTGGCCAAACTATCTCCGATTTGTCCATTAAGGGGAAACATTGCATTGAGAATTCATTTATATTCAGCAGGTAGCTTTATTAATTAGTGAATGAATGAATACATTATTGAATAAATCAATAAATATTAACTTTTGAAATGAAAATACTATTTAATTTATAAATATTATTTATTATTTTATTTGGAAAGTATGGGAAGAAACAAGAAAGAGGAGACAGTCTTGACCAGATTAAGAGTAGAGTTGAAATGGAGAGAGAACATGATGAAAGAAATGGGAAGCATAGGAATAACTGAGGAACATACTGAAATGCGGTGTGTAAACAAGGCAGGAAAAAGCTGAACTTTTCCTAATAAAAACAGCATTAAAGGCAGGGTATGTGATTTTCCAAAAACACTGTAGAAAACTGATTCGGGCCGAATCGCAAAACAAACTTGTAGCCAATCAGCAATAAGGGGCGTGTCTACTCGTGATGTGGAGGAGAGCACGTTCAGTGCACGGGACGGACATTAGCCGAGCCGAGCGACAGAAAGATAGAGATGGCGGATAAAAAACAAAAGAGGAAAACGTCTACGGAACGATAAGGCAAGAAGTAGGACCCGTGTAAATATCGGATCAGCTTTCCAGCACTGGAGAGAACTCAAGGAGCGGAGGCCTGCGATCAGACGCCGAGGTTGCTTTGTTTCTTCTCAATAGGTGAGTAACACCGTGTCTACAACCAGAGGCGGACTTAACCATTAGGCAAAGGTAGGCGACCGCCTTGGGCCCCCAAAAGCCAAGGGCCCCCAAAAGCCAAGGGCCCCCTAAAATGCTTTTTATATGCGAGGTGCGCGTTCAGTGCGGACGCGCAAGCGGTTGCTCTGGTGTTCATTACCACGACAACCGTCTGTGCGTCCGCGTTGAACGTGCTTCTTAGCAAAAGTAGGGCGATGTAGAAAATGGGGACGGAATCCCGGAATCTATTCATAAAAACGGAATTTACTGTGTAACGTGGAATGTGACAGAATGAAAGGCGCAGACGTATTTTTGCCATTTAATATTCACATACACTAGTCCATATCGCGGTTTGATTGAAGTGTACTGAATTGCATTTGATTTATTCATTCAATATTTGACGAATTCCGTGACATTGCTCGTTACACAGTAAACTTGTGTAGCATTTTTAATGTACAAAAGTTAAAGGGTTTGTTTAATTTTCAGTGGAATAAAAAATAGATTCATGTTTTTGCCTTCATTTGATTACCAGAAAAATGAAAATACACAACACAGAATTTCGAAAAAAAATAAGTAAATACAATTTAAATTTAAATTTCATAGGGCCCTATTATTGTATACAAATTAATAAATTAAGTTGTTTTTATGAATTCAATTAATTAGATATGTTTTTGATTAAACCATTAAAATGGAATACAGAAAAATTTAAATGGAAAGCACAGAATTTGGGCCCTAAGAATGTAATTTTTGTTAAACTTTTAATAGGCCTAAATTGCTGTTAAATTAAACAAGTTTCATGATTTTAATTAATTAGACATGTTTTTTGTTAAAATTTAATATAATCATCCAGAAAAATAAAAAAAACAAAACAAAAAAAAACTGAATCCAGAAAAATTTAAACAGAAAAAAAGATTTTGGGAAAAATAAAACGGATTTCATAGGGCCCTACAAATA